CTAAAAGCTGAGAGCGAGCCAGTAAGGGTTGGGGATTGATACCTGTAGTCTTCTAGCCATTGATCGAATTCATCTAATCGATCTTGAATGTTCTCGAAAGACGTGTCATTCAGCTTGTTTGCGAACACTCGCTTTAGCAGCTCTTCATTTTTCCTACAAATATTTGCGATTGTGCCTTTGTTTATAAAAATCAATAAGGACGATGTCAAACTTTGCGAATCGAGCGATTCGCTAGTGTCCGCGGTCGCATCGCGTACAGCGAATCAAGCGTCGCGGGCTCGATTCGCTGCACGCGACGCGACCGCGGACGCTAGCGAATCGCTCGATCGCGAAGTCTGACGTCGGTTTAAGTCGCCTACAGTACTTGTGTTCTTGCTCAGCCCGATTGAGTCGCTTCTCGATGTACTCGCCACGATCAAGAGTGGCATTGTAGTGCGCTTCAGCTTCGCGAACCCAAGCGTCCAATGTGGCTCCACCGACAGTGGTGCCACCGTGCTAAAAATGATATTAGGGCTAAAAAATGAGCAACATTCCGCATTTTGATGCAACTGATAATGCGAACGTTAGCAATGAGATACTTCATCTATTCAGTACTTAGAATAAATATATGAACTTTGAACTACTTATGAACCTTAGGCAAAGTTCGAACCTTTGATGCTATGAACCCAATTTATTGATTTACCACTATAAGGGGTCAAAAGAGTAGTCTAGTTCCCGTTTCGCACGTGCCCTCAGAGAAAACATGGCAGTAATGTACCCCCCTTAGCGCTCATCAGTAAAGGAATGGAAGTGTAGAAGTTTAAAAGTGTAGTTTAAAAGTTTGAAACAAATTTGTACCTTGTGGAAGTGCTTGAGGAATTGCGTCGTGTTGAACGCGTTGGCATAGGTGAGCTGAGCGTCAAGAATTAGTTTCTCGGCCAGAGATGTGAACTGCTCCAACGATGTGACGCCCTTGGCCATACGTTCTGCTTGGAAGCGAGCCTGCAATCACTCACAGACTACTCGATGGAGATAGCGTTTGTGTAGTGGAGAAAAGTGCAGGCTTTCGCTGAGAAAACGGAAACCTACCCAAAAATCTGGAAGGGCGGATTTTTCACAAGATAACAATAAAGCTACACAGAAAAGCCCATCTTGACCGGAACTACGGTACCTTAGTCGACCCTTTCAGAGTGTTATGAGGTCCGTGACTTCAGACTTGCAGAACTTCTTGGTCATGTGGTCTTCATGGTCGTTTTGTGGTCGCGTCAGCTGTACTAACACCCAAAATGTGCCCTCTTCAGGACCGCCCACCAAGAGTATCCCCCCTCCCAGATCAACTCAAAAGCTTTAAAGGATAATTCTTGAGAAGATGTCGATGCAGGGGAACTTCTAAGCACGTTACATGAGCATAACTCTTTAATCTCCTTGACTACAAAAAGTGTCTAAAAGAACGGCGAAACAACTCCTAAAGACGAGTCTTTGCAGACTGTTGAAGGCTTTAAAGACGCTGAACAGAAAATGTGCTACCAAAATCTTGAACATTAATCTACTCACCCCTTCCACAACTGCGAACGCTTCCTTAGCATACTTGCTATCTCTG